GAAACACAGGGGATCCAGGACAGATACACTCTTCAGGACCAATAATATGGGTAGTGATACCAGGAGGGGAAGGGGAAGGTGGAGGGAGGAAGGAAGGGGGAACAGATCACAATGATCTACATATAACCCCTTCCCAGGGGATGGACAACAGAAACATGGATGAAGGGAGACATCAGACAGGGTAAGACATGGAAAAGTGATAATAATTTATAAATTATCAAGAGTTGGGGAGGGAAGGAGGGAGGGAGGGGAAAAATGAGGAGCTGATACTAAGGGTTCAGGTGGAAAGATGTTTTGAAAATGATAAGGGCAACAAATGTACAAATGTGCTTGACACAATGGATATATGTATGGATTGTGGTAAGAGCTGTATGAGCCCCCAATAAAACAATTAAAAGGAAAAAAAGGAACCTAAGTATATAAGATGTCATCAGCTGGTCCGAAGGTGGTGAGATCTCACTACGATTGCTTATAGTTAATTATTGGTCGATCTATTTGTCTACCCCCCTTCACTACTGCACTTGACTAATCTTAAAACAAACAACAACAAAGAGATGTCATCATTAGGCATCATTGACACACATGCATAGAGGATTATAAGGGCCTCTGGAGGTGAAGTGTGTAACTACTGCAAGGTCAGTAATTTAAAACCATTAGTCACTCCGAGGGAGGACCGTGAGACTTTCCATTCTCTTACAGATTTACAGTCTCAGAAATCTACAAGGGCAGTTCACCTTTGTCCTATCAGATCCTTATGAAGAATCAACTCAATGTCAGTGATATGGGTTTTTTGGTAATTTAGTCGTAAATTTGAAATTTAGTCGTATATAAAAAATGTAAATTATCTCCGTCTATAAAAAATATTTCTAATTAGAAGTCCCTGGATTCCTAATATTAATCTTGGATATATTTTCCAACAACAAAAATAAAATGCAAAAATGATTAATAGGACACACAGGCATAAAATGAATAAATACTGTTTGCCTTCTCTTATGGTAAGACAGGGAAGATAGGCCTATTTTCTAGAAATAAACTGCAGTTAGGAAAATCAGTTGATTCCAACTCACCAGTATTTGGGGTTTCTGCTTTTTCTCTTGGGGACAGTCATTATCATTAGAAGACAAACCTAAGGGAAGGAACACCCACAATTACTCTGTTAATAGCTCTGATTATTGGAAGAAAAACCGGAAAATTTTACTTAGCTGTGGCCCCTACAGGGTGCTCATCTGAATCTGAAATCTAGGTTCTCTCTTCCCCTCCCCAGACCCTCAACAACTCTCACCTTTTGAGTCCATCTTCGGGATGTCCATATCTCCCTGTTTCTTCATGCCAAGGTCTTCCAGGCCTTCTCTTGCGTGTGTCAAGGACCAGCACACTTCATGACCCCAGTCCGTGCAGTGGCTGCCTGGAAATCCTGCCACAGGGTCAGCTGGAATTTATTTCACCTCTAAATGGATCTCTGCTGCCTGTGGGGTGATTTTGTTATGCTCCACTTAGGAAAGCCTCTCTTGCTTTCAGGTACCCAGGACCTGTGGGATGGAGAAGCAATTAGATGCTGTTAAATCCTTTATTGTGGGCTCTAAACCCAGGCCTTTCCCCAGGGATCCCGTCCTCTTACATTGTCCTCAATCACCTTCAGTTCTCTGGATTTTCAACTGGGATTTTTTTCTGGTCTAGACACTCTTAACTCTGTTCCCTGGCACTCATTCTTTCCTGCCACCTCCTCACCCAAACAGTCAGATTGAAGTGGGGAGGATACAGACAGAGCAGCTGAGTTGTCAGCAGGTCTGGCACAGTGCAACTACTGTTAACATTCACAAGCAGTGTCTGATAGGGACTGCCACCAGAAGATGATCACTTCTGTCACCCTGGACCAGAAAAGGCCCACACTGGTGGCTGAGGACCAAAAGGAAGCCAGCTCAAAGCCTCACCTATCAGTGGTGAGTGACAACACACCCTCTGCCACGCCGCTACTCCATGTGAAGCGGGAGGGAGGGACATGTGGTACACTGAGTGCTAGATGGACACCACCCTCGTGTGTCATCCTCTGCTTGCTGAGACCTGAAGAACCACAGCGCCTGTCCACTGAAAGCAAGCTGGGGGAGGAGAACTCCTTCCAGGGCCATGGATCCAGGTTCAGTCTATACATGTCCACATTCCTTTCCTCAACAGTGTGTTAAAATTCTGTACCACTGGATAAATTAACAATACTATCAACAGATTACTTTATGTCCTTGTGGGATGATTGGAAATTTTCTGTCATAAAATGTTAAGGAGGCCTCGTCTCCACTATTGGGGGAAAGGAGTTTACTTGGTGCTGTCTGCACACATCCCCACAACCCACTCTATGCTTTGTTCTGGATAATCCCGCTTCAAAAATGAAATTCGAAGTTCAGGGTCACTCGCGGCCCAGCCACAGCCCCGGACAAAAGGGCCACGGAGCGCCCGCAACTACAGGACCCAGGGCGTCTCCCACACACTTTCCCCGCCCCAGACCCGCCTTGGATCTTCACCCCCTTGACCACAAACGCAATCCCAGGGACCCGCGGACGTTCCAACAGCAGAACGCAGCCCGCCCACCACCCGAAACTTCCTTGTCCCCGACGCTGGTTGCACGCTTCTCTGCTCGTGACCGCGCGCGAAAAGCCACTCGGGCGCCGAGGACCCTGCGGCCGCGCTCGTCCGTCCGTCCGTCCGTCCGTCCGTCCGCGCCGCGGGCTTCCCCGGAGCCCGTCCGCACGGCGCTCAGGCTGCGGCTCCCTCGGCC